TTTGCTTCATGGTTGGTGTCTTCACACTTGCCATAGGTCTCCTCAAACTCGGTTTCCTCCTCGACTTCGTCTCCGCCCCTGTCCTGACAGGATGGATCTCTGCTGTTGCCCTTGTGATTCTCATGGGTCAAATCGATAGCTTGATTGGCATGGATGTCCCCTCGGGCACAGCGGAGATCATCCGCGGCATCCTCGGGCACCTCAACCAGATCCAACCGTTGACACTCGCCATAGGCTTCACCAGCATCTTCCTCCTTGTCGTCCTCGAACAGGTCGGGAAGCGATGGGGCAAGAAGAACAAGTACCTCAAGATCCTCTCAACGAGCCGTGCCGTCGTCGTCCTCGTCCTCTACACCCTCATTTCATACCTGGTCAACCACAACCTCGAAGCCGATGATTACAAGTGGGAGGTCACCAAGGTCAAGACGAATGGGCTCTGGACACCTCGAGTTCCAGAGGGCACTCTCTTGAACAAGGTCATCGCCCGATCCTTTGCTCCTCTCATTGCCATGGCTGTCGAACATCTCGGCGTTGGAAAAGCATTCGGGCTTCGAAACAACTATAACATCGACAAGAGTCAGGAGCTGGTCTTCTTGGGTATCTCGAACCTGATCAACAGTCTCTTTGGTGCCATGACTAGTGAGTGTCTACCCACACAGCCCAGGAACAACCGAAGAATATATGTGGCTAACTAACAACTTACCAGCCGGTGCTGCCATGTCCCGTACAGCAGTAAACTCCGAGTGTGGTGTTCGAACACCTGTCAACTTCCTGTTCACCGCCGGCTTCATCATTCTCACCTTGTACAAGCTGGCTCCAGCCCTATACTGGATTCCCAAGGCCACCCTTTCCGCAATCATTGTATGTCCCTGCCTTACCTCTCTCTGCTTGGCCACTCCCCCCTCTAACATGTTATCTAGATCATGGCTGTCGTCAATCTCATCTCGCCCCCTCGCCTCTTCTACCGCTACTACCGCATGTCCTTTGTCGACTTTACAGCCTCCATGCTCGGGTTCTGGGTCACTCTATTCACCTCAACTGAAATCGGACTGGCCACCGCAGTGGGCTTCAACATCGTGGTGACACTCCTCCGCCTCGCCTTCCCGCGTCTCATCAGACTCTCCCACACCGAGACAGAGACTCTCCAGTGGGACATCCCAAAGCCAAGCCCGACCGCGGACGCAATCGACGTCCCCAGCAACGCCTTCTACATCCGCTTCACCGACGACCTCCTCTTCCCCAACGCCGAGCGCCTCAAGAGCGAGATCGTCCAGGCCGTCAAGGTGCGCTACGAGCCGGCCTCGAACGAGGTGGACCTCAAGTCCCCCGACCGCAGCTGGAACGTGTCGGACCTGAAGCGCATCCCGCGGATACGCAAGCGCCTGGGCATCGCGCCCATCAGGTCGGACGTGGCGCAGCTCCAGCACGTCGTGCTGGACTTTGGCATGGTGACCTTCATGGACATCACGGGCACCCTGTCGCTGATCGAGCTCAAGATGGAGCTGAGGCGCTACATCGGGAGGGAGCTGCAGTTCCGGTTCATCGGGATGACCGACCCCGTCAAGGAGCGGTTCCGGCGCTCGGAGTGGCAGTTTGCCTTTGTTGGCGAGCCGCGTTCTGAGGAGTGCGACGTGATCTACTCGTCGCTGCAGGATGCGCTGTTCCATGGATATGACAGCGATGACAACAGGGATGATAAGGAGGAGGTGATGGCTACTGAGAAGAGGATAGAGGAGGTTTAGTATATTTCTCTCCGTGATCAAAGAGAGGCAGGTTCCTTTGGGTGGAAATTGACTGTGTGAGAGAATCAAACTTTGGGTGAGACATGAGGCTACGAATTTTGTTAGTTACAAGTGAAGGAATTAGGTACATTGTCTCCTGATCATACACCCAAGTGATGAACCTTATATTTCGCGAGATGTATCAAGCAGTCAATCATAGTAGTGTACGTTAGCATCAGTTTAGATGTAATTCTCTGCCGTATATCCGCCTGAGAATCTCGCGTAAGATGCGGGGTGAAGCCAGTTGAGTGCTACTCCGTAGGTACATGTATCCTTGCACTCGGAGGAGGGGCGATGGTCATATGTCATCTCGAGTTCAAATGCATCTTTACCTGAGCCCCAATTGAAATCATCATTCATTTCTCCCCAGCATACGAACCTTGATGACTTCACTGATGCAGGACGCGATGGCACGCCGCAAGATAACTCGATATGGTGATTGGGAGTCTCCCATCACCCAAGATCTGGTCATAGCCAAAGCCAGGAAATTCACCTCTCCCCGAATCTCGGTAAGGACTTATCTACGTCTCCCGAAAATCGCAGCTTCGTTTTCTTGGCCCAACTGTCACTGTCACGTTTCTCATATTAACACTGATGGCAGCGACCAACCGGCAGGGTCTTCTTCGCGGAGAGTCGAGAAGATGGTACTATGACGATCAGTGAAGTCCTGCCAGACGAAGTCAAGGATCAACTGCCAGCTCAGTTCTCGGCCTCTAACAAGGTCTACGAGTACGGAGGATCGACATTCGATGCACTCCCCAGCGGGCGCGTCATATTCTCCAATAGCGACAATTCAGTCCAAATTCTGGATCCAGACACCAGTACCGTAACTGAGGTGATCAATAATCCAGCGCTGCGATATTCTAACTTCAGTGCCAACTCCAAGACGCCTTGGGTGGCCGCGATCGAAGAGGATCATACCATTGACGAACCAGCCCAGATCCGAAATCGCCTCGTGGCCATCAACTCGGACACAGGTGCCATAGCCAGAATTGTAGAAGGTGCTGACTTCTACTATCCACCCGAGCTCAACCATGATGGCTCCAAGATTGCCTGGCTAGAATGGAACCGGCCTGATGTGCCATGGTGCTCGGCGAAGCTGTACTGGGGGTTACTCAAAGACGGTTCCGTCTCCAACGTCCAGCTCGTGGCGGGTGGTCTCTTAGCCGGCGTCGCCGAGCCTCGTTGGGGACCTGATGACACTCTCTATTTCGGCATGGAAAAGACAAACTACCGCCAGCTATTCAGGCTCCAACCAGGGGACAAAGAGGCCCAACAAATCACACCCCCCGAACTATGCAACGCCGAGTTCGCCGAGTTGGTTTGGATGCCTGGATCGTAAGTTTCCCCAGTACTCCCTCTAACACCCTCACCTCGAATGCTAATCACTTACATTACATTACAGTCGCACATACGCTCCTCTATCGGCAAGCACTGTTGTTGCTGCCGCAACCATCAATGGAGTCAGCCGCTTGGTCCTCATCGAGGATACGGCCACTGGCAAGTTTCGCTTCCTCGCCGATGAGGGGGAGGTAAACCAGATTATACTTGACTCTCTCACTGGACTTGGCGAGGACAGCTTCATCGGCATATTCAGCGGGAGCGTAAAAAATACCTATCTCAAGATATTCAACACCCAAAACCCCGCTGCCGACAGGGTGGTGCGCAAGTCTACGGATCATGAATTGCCAGACGCATGGATTGCCAAACCTGAAGAGCTCCGTGTTCCTTCCAAAGGCTCCCCCTCGCGCACCATTTACGGATTCCTCTGGATGCCTCAGAACCCAGACCACGCTGCCCCCGAGGGCACCCTCCCGCCGCTCATCATCAAGACGCACGGCGGGCCAACCGGGCATTTCGGCCCAGGCCTCCAGCTACGATGCCAGTACTTCACCTCTCGCGGCTACGCCGTCGTATGTCTAAACTACCATGGCTCCATCGGCTACGGCCGCGGGTACCGCGATGCCCTCTGGGGCACATGGGGCATCCTCGACACGGACGACGCCGCCGAGGTGGCCGAGCATCTCGTCTCCGTCGGGCGTGTCCGCGAGGGCTCCGTCGGCTGCACGGGAATCAGCGCGGGAGGGTACAACACGCTCATGTGCGTGACGAGACACCCCAGGCTGTGGGCCGGGGCCGTCGACGTGTCCGGCATCTGCGACCTGGAGTCCTTCTACAGCAGGACGCACAAGCTCGAGCTAGACTACACGGAGGCGCTCGTCATCGACAAGGTTGGCGCGGCCGACGAGGAGAAGCTGGCGGTTTACAGGGAGAGGAGTGCGATATACCATACCTCGAAGATTGAAACCCCGTTGTTGATCCTCCACGCTGAACAGGATACTGTCGTCCCCATGAACCAGGCAACTGATATCGAGAAGGCTCTCAAGGAGCAAGGGAAAGAGGTGAGGTTGGTGAGAGTCCCCAACGATGGCCACTCTCTAGCCAAACCCCCGAGTGCGAGGATTTGGCTAGACGAGGAGGAAAAGTGGTGGAGGAAGACACTGCTGTGAGCACGCGATAAATGGGAAATCGCCACAGAAGCGAGCACAGGGTGAAAAAAAGAAAACGTACTTCGCATGATCAAGAACAAACGAGCAGAATCAACACGAGGAAACGAATCATGAAACATTTACCACTAAATTCGACGCACCTGTTCGCGGTCTGTGCGGTCGGACGACAGCTGATGGAATCAGAAGAAAGGAATACTGGGCCAGAGTTAAATTTACAAATCGCTCCGGGAATGCGCTTACCGAAGTAATTCGAGAAACATCCAAATGAGCTTTGCGTTTCGTGTTCTGTAAGACAAACCTGTAGATGTTATAATTATCGATTGCATCATAGACGACAGGGGAACTTCCCCGTGATTAGAGGTATCGGCGATGCCTGGTCACGACCACCCAAGGCCAGCCACTCAGCTGACCAGGAATTCATCAAAAATATCAGACACAGCCTCGTGTTAGCAGGCGACGGCATATTTGTCAAACGAACTTACTTGAAATAAACTTATTATATAGACAGTCGGCTCTCCATCTATTATTACTGATGGCCTTTTGAGGGGGTGACATATTCAACACCATGCCTCGCGGAATGTGACAGTATCACGCCCATCAAGGCTAAGCAGCGCAGAGCAAAGGATCATGCCGTAAAGAGTCATTAGTCATAGGGTATGTAAGTAGTAGTAAGTACAATAGGTTCACATATATACAGCTCCGTACTTCATCATATCCTTCCCTTCGGTCTCTTCCGTACAGGATCGGCAGTGGGTTTCTGGATCCTGCTGTGTACCTCATCAGGGCTTCTGCGGATGTCCCAGGTAGGGCTACCTGGCGTTGTGTGCGATCGGGGTGACGGCGATCGACGGCGGGTCGATGTTATTCTTCGTGAGAGTACGGACTTGTAGTCCGACGGGAGTGCTGCAGCTGTTTCAGGGCGAGGGGTTGCTGTATCTTCATCGTGTGTTTCGCTCATGTCGTCGTCGAAGCCGCCATAGATATCGAAGGAATCTTCAGGAAATTGAGCGGTAAGAAGATCATCATCATCATCCTCATCATCATAGTCCTCATTGAACTGGGTAAAGTGGGGATTCTTATCATTTACAGAATCAAATGAAGCCCGGCTCTCCGCGCTATCAGACACAGACGTGACGGCCGTGTCGCAGTCAGATTGCGATGAGGTGTCGTCGTCGTGGTGAATAAGCGAGCGGCTAAAGCCAGGACAGAATGCACCAGATTCTGACCCAGAGAAGGACATAGAGGGTGATGGGGGATCTGATGGGAGGAAATCTCGTGAAACTTCGACGGAGGCAGGATTCTCGCCTGTCTCGGATGCAGGAGGGGACAATGGAGCATCGAGGCTACCATCAGAAAAGCTGTTTTTGGAAGTTGTGGAGTCTTCGAATTGGGTGACAGAGACACCGTCGACGCTGCCGGCCTTGGTGCTCATGGTGTGGACGCTGATGGCGTCAGAAAAGATGGGGGATGGGGGTTCGCTCTGCGAGTCTGCAGAGTCGGCATGGGTATCAGGGAGGTAGCTAGCAAAATACCGGACCAGAGAATCAAAAGATTTGGTACGAAAGAGCTGCATAGCGTATTCCCAGTGGTTCGAATCCATCAACTTCGGGTTGGCGATGATCTCTAAAGCGAGCGCTTCAAGAGTGTCGTGGAGCTCCTGAAGGCGTTGCTGCCGTCGCTCGGCCAGCAAGCGGTGGAACTCCTCCAGCGTGTCGGCATCGTGGGAGATCTCGTTCACGTCGGCGTGAAAGGCTTGCGGGTCTTGGATGGAAAAGGTGAAGGTGTTGTACTGCTCGTGCAGTGAGGAAAAGAGATCAGCCCTCTTCAAGCCAAACTTCCAGGCGGGCCATGACCAGCCCGGGTCGTCCATTTCATACAGCGGCTCAGGTGAGGAAGGCTGGAGGTATAAGAGTCGGGGGGATCGAGGAGAGACGGGTGCGGGTTCAGGTGGTGGGCGTGTTGTTGTTGCTGATTGCTCAGCGAGCGGTGTCTTCGTGTGTGTTCAAGGTCCCTAAAAGAGACCATTTAGATAGTACTGCCAGAGACAAGGGCCATCGTGAGAAATTTATTGTGGTGATTTGGTCAACGGAGGTGAACTGGGCTCTCTGGTTCGCGCAGTTGGTGTGATTGAGGATGGTATGTTTGCTGGACAGGCTCTGGACGGGAACATGCCAGCTCCATCCTCAGAGTCTCTCCACGGGGGGAGCAGAGAATACCTTTCGCGGCCAGGGTTGAGCCGATGGCAAAACGACACCTGCACTATTGCCTAAGGCATGAAGGGAATTGCGATGTGGTTGGTTCAATTTATGGGTACTTGCATGGGGTGGCAACACTAGTTCCGCATTAGTGGCCAATGAGAACATCCTCCGTTAGCCCCTGTTCCGTAAATGGAACTTTGGTCGTTGGTCGAGCGAAACCCGGGTGGACAAATGTTCTTCTCGGATGGGGGCCTGACAGCCTCCCAACCAGTCATAGCGCAGCATTGCGTGAAATCCCTTACCGACTCGCATCCGGTCTTTATCCAATGTAGGGCCACGCCCCCCACAGCAGAAGACACACCACCCCCATCTCAGCAAGTCTCAAAGAGCCTCATTGCTATTGGTGGTCTAAGTCACCCCTCGGTGTGTATCACGTTATCTTGCAACCCAAAGCGCACACTGATTCGTGTGTTGGCCCACTTTGAGACCAACGCTGCTTACATGTATGTGGGCCCTGGTAATCTTCTTCCTCCCTTGTCCCACTCTTTTCCCACTCCAGCCTCCAAATGAACTCCAGGCTATTTATGCAACCACTGTGGACAGAGACGGGAGTATGCAAATAATTGCATAAGAGAAGTGCACCTTACTAATATTGCACTATTTCAAGCAATTATCATGGCTGTGTGAATGAATGAGGTCAGCAAATGCACCTGTGAAGGAAGTGATGTCACGGGAGCAACATTCGTGGAGAAGCGCTTGATCGTAAGAAGTGCACACACACACATATACGAGGCGACAGAACATTCAACAAATTCACTGAGAAACAAGAACAGGCTGTGTGACCGAGGAATAATAGAGCATGACGTGCTTCTCGTGAATATAGAGAAGTGTTTGAGACCAAGGAAGCCCCCCATGGGGCCTCACGATGCAAAATGCTCTCCCAGTGTGGCCGTGACTAGACCGCTTGACAAGTTGAGAGGAGCGGCCCGGGACGGACTGGCCATGGTGGAGGGGTCACATTGTGTGAGTGTGTGACTGTGAGCGCGAGGTGAGGAGGGAGGCGAGAGAGTGGCATCGGATCGGGGAGGGAGAAGCCAGCAGAGGAGTAGTGCCTGCGCCTCATGGTGCCGTGGCGGTGCAAGCCCCGTTTTGAAAATCTGCCTTTGGCTAGGACACGGCCCGCACCAGACCGCCCGTTCGAACAAATTGCATTGGTAGAGCTGGCGCATTTGTAAATCCCGCTGAAGCGTGGCCTGTTTCCACCAAAGGACCAAAATCAGTGCAATTAATAGCAGCTAGGGAACCGGCGGCTGGGAGCTATTGGACCAGCCCCGAGCATGCTCCGTCCATTTGATAATCTGGTACTTGGACTTCAGCACGAGACCCTAGTGAATTCCATGTAGCTCTCTGACAGTGCCCACAAGGCATCCGCGTGCCCCTCTTCAGGTCGTTTACTGTCTTCTGCCTGCTCTCCCATGCCCATGAGCTCGATGACTCTCAACGGAGGCTGAGAGGCCGTCAGCAGGCCACACAGCATCTGCCCTATCTGCTTGCGCATCTGACTATTCTGTCCCGTCGAATCTGTCTTTTGAATACTTCATTGATTTGGCGTCCTGTTCCTGCATCTCATCGGCCGGGATACAGACCAGTCAGTCCTAGCCATATCTTATCACCCCATCCACCCCATTTTCTCCCCCCTTCCCCAGCTGGCTCCCGTCCATTGAGTCAGACATCCATAAGATACCCCCGCGGCTTCTGCCTTGCGCTCACTCGCCTGCACAAATAGCTTTGTGCCAACAGTCGCGCGCCAACAGCGACTCATACCCAAACTCCCAATCACCGCCCACCAGCTGTAATACGTCGTTGTTTGTACATTGGTGCCTCATGGGCCGTTAAGGCAGCACCTAGCAATTCCTTATGGTCGAATACAGAGCCGAGCCCGTCGAGGCCTCGGAGGAACGGACGGAGCCTATTTCGCAATCTGAGATGGATATTTTCATCCGGAGCATGGGGATGGAAGAACAGCCCGATCCTCCGCCGGGCGATTATCAAGTGCCTCTGCACCTCTTGAAGGTCGAGGATCGTCACCGAGAGGAGGGAATTCGTCTCATCTTTCGGCCACTGACCAAGATATCTCCTCGCGCCGTGAGCCCCGGTGGCAGCAACTGCCAGTGGCTAGCTCTGCGCGCCGAGGTCGCCTCGACCGAACAGCCAGAGCACAAAGTTCTCGCCGTCACCCAGACATCCAAGGACATCAAGTTCGCCGTCAGGATCCCTCGTGAGACAAACGATGGCAGCGCCCCGCGGCCAACCCTGTGGTGCGAGCTTTACTATGACCCTGCAAGTGACAGCGTTGTCTTTCTGAACAAATCCGAGGACCCAATCCAACTCGTCTTGGTCTCCCAAACTTACCTGGCCAGCCCGCCAGCTAACGAGGGCAACACCGTCAACCCGGGGTTTCCCCATGAATTGAGACCTGGGACATGGAGAATCAAGGTTCGACATGTAGCCGTACTTGACTTCAGAGTCCTCGAGAAGCGGCCAGTTACCATCTATGAACGAGAATCATCTGATAGTCGCGAGCTGGTGCTTTCGTCGCCGTCCTCAAGCTCGGACCAAATCAATGCCAATATAAAGCGGCCTCGAACTCCAGATCGGGACAATATGCGCATCAAGCGCCGGATTTCCGACGGCGTCAACAAAACTGACGACAGCGCCATTGAGTTTATGCGCCCCGGTGCCGCTGACTCGCTTGTCTTCTCACTCCCAAACACGCGGCAGACCAAGGTGCTTGCGTCCAACACCAGCCACCCTCTGCTGGATGCTGAGAACGGTGAGACGATTGCTGTTTCTGGTGTTTGTGAGCTGGATGAGTATCACATTACCCCGCAGGATCCCATTGCCTCCACGGCGCAGTCCAAGGTCTATAGAGGACGCCACTCCCAAGTGCCAGACAACATCGTCACGGTCAAGGTCCTCAAGACTCGTATGGCGAAACCCGGAGACAAGGCCTATGTCAACGAGCGGAATCTAATCCGGCAGGCCCAAATGTGGGAGCGTGAGTCTCAAACCCAAGAAGGCCTGAACCACGGCTCCATTGTCAAGTATTACGGAGGGGACGCGCGGTTCCTATCCCTCTACATGGAACACGTTGATGCCCAGGACCTAACTGCGGGACCCCGATGGAGGAGCGTGTCCAATGATGAATTTCAAGGTAACAGGGAGGACGCAAAGCGAATCCTACTCAACATTGGTGAGGCACTCAGCTATCTCCATGGCCGCCACGTGGTACACAACGACATCAAGCCCGCCAACATCCTATATTCCCCCGAGCGTGGCGCCGTTCTCTGCGACTTCGGCCTATCAACTGGCACGGCCAAGGAGCCGTCCACGGGTGGGACGCCATACTACGTGCCACCAGAGTTCATCGTGAACAAGTCGCGTGGGCCCCCGGCGGATGTCTGGGCACTGGGTGTGACCATGTTGTACGTGCTGCGCAAGATTCCCCTACCCGATAGCAGACGCCACGTCAAGGTCCTCTACTGGCAGATTGCGGGCATTCACAACACCAACGTGCCCCATAGAAAGTACGGCAACGGGCAGGGCGCTGCATCGCAGATGAAGGAGTGGCTCAGGAGGGTCCACGAGACACGCGAGAAGCTCAGTCCGCAGGACCGTCTCGAACGCATCGTGTCTGAAATGTTGGCTCCACAGCCTGGCCAACGAATCACCATGGCCAAAATCGTCCAAAGCTTGAATGGGGGGCCGGCCTCCCTCGCCGGTTAAGATGGCGTTGTACCTTGTGTTATACATCTGGCGTTCCGTGTTTGAATTGGCGTTGGAGCCATTAGAGCTTCTGTTTTATTATATATTTCACGGTGCGATTACAGTCGCACCGACACGCGTGCTGGCCGATGGGCCAGCTCAATGACAGAATACAGGGTGAGATTTATTCCCCATACGAAAAGCGAACTGTTTGAACTGATCACCATGTCAGAAATGGGAACGGGTTGTCTTATGCATTTTTTTTTCATGCTTTACTTATTAACGGAATCATTTATTAACGGAATGAGCGAAGAAGGCTCTTGTTACAGCATTTGGTTGAGCATTTATTCACACTTTTTTCTCGCAGTTTCTATTCGAATACACACACATGCACACTCTATACAACAACAAACACACACATATTATATATAGTTATCATGACCATCACCATAGAGTATATTATTGTTCAGATATCATTGATTTTTTTTAAACATTGGCTCCTATTGATTCAAATCCCCAACTCCCTTCCGACGTCATGGTACCCTTACATGCCCAATCCCATAGCAAAGACAACCGCCAACCCAGTGAAGGTGGTCACTGAGAGCATGTTGACACCCAGAATGCCAGCGGCTCCCTTGTCATTGCCGCTCTGTGTGCTGTTGTTGCCGCTGCTGCCGCTGCTATTACCCCCGGTCTGGACGAAGCTGTGCTGCACGGTGTTATTGCAGGTAGGGGCCTTGGTAGCATTGGCCGTGAAGCGGATGTCGGCGCAATTGTACAGAGCGCTTCCTGTGTCGCCAACAGTAACGACCTGGAGGGTCCCCACGGCGCCTTGGGTGACATTACTGTTGTCAGGCAGGCGGATGTCGTCCAAGCAGAGCAGACCCTTGCCGGTGGTGTTCATGAG